GTCATTGATGAAGATATTAAACAGTACTGGTCCCAGTATGGACCCCTGCGGGACACCACTTGTCACCAATCTCCATCTGGACATTGAGCTGTTGACCACTACCCTCTGGATGTGACCATCCACACTGGACAGTCCACCCATCAAATCCATACCTCTCCAGTTTAGAGAGAAGGATGTTTTGGGGGACCATGTCAAAGGCCTTACAGACATGCAGATAGATGACATCCGTAGCTCTTCCCTTGTCATGGCCTCACCTGTGTTTTTTATCTCACTCCTGATAATTTCATTTGATGCTCATGAGTTTTGTATTATGACAGAGTGAATAATTGTTCTCTAAGCATTTCCAGGCCATTCATAGTTTTGTAGATTTTGGTCAAATTGCGTCTCATTTATCTCTTTTTGGAAGTTGAATAGTTCTTTTATTTGCTGCTTGTATGAAAAATGTTTCATAGTCTTCTTCGATCAGCCTTATAGGTACTCTGTGTTTTCTACTATAGCCTTTTTTTTCTTAAGATGGAGGATGAAAATAGCACCCAGTGTTAAAGTTGTGGGAACACTTTACAGTGACCTAATAGCATTATTTGATATGCTGTTTAATTCTTTCCTAATAATTCCTACTACTGTAATTGAGGTTTTTTGATAGGATCTGAGGACTGAGCTTCTATTTTCACAGACCTCTTCACTGAAACCCCCAGACTCCTTTCCTGAAAGGAATTATCTACTCAGAGCCTATTGTCCTGACTGTTATGCTGGGATTGCTTTTCTCCATCTGTATTTTTTTTTTTTTCATACATCATCACTGAATTTCACCTGTCATTTTACTGCTCAGGTACTCAGTATTGCGAAATCCTTTTACAGATCTTCATAGCTGGCTTTTGTTTTCATCATTCTGAATACCTTATTGCCATCAGCAAACTTTGTCACCTATCTTTCCTTCCTTCTTTCCAAATTGTTAATGAATAAATTGAACAGCACAAAGCATTGGGAAAATTCCAAATGAATGCTTCTCTCCATTGTGGAAACTGAAAGATTTTACCCTAACCTTTGATGCTGATCTTCTAACCATAAGTTAATCTATGGAAAGGCCGTTTATCCCATGACAAATTCAGATCCTTTGGCAAGGGAACCCCTCAAAAATCCTATTAGACTTCATCAGCTAGGTTGTCTTTCCCTACAGGCTCTAAGAACCTGGATAGATTTATGGTGTGATTTTCATGTGCAAAAGTCATTTTGATTCCTCAATGATGTCCAGAATATACTTGTCCAGAAACCAGTGTTACCTGGGAAAGCAGTAATATGTTGTATTAGGCACTGTAGAAACAGAGCAAGAAGATTGCTCCTTTGAGGAGCTCACACTTAAGGAAATCCAGCATGCTGTCTACAGTGAAGTCATAAATTATGAAAATAGTTTCTTTCTAATCTCTTATCTTATATATTCTTAGATATTAAGGTTTATGATTTCTAAACTTAGATTCACTTTGTTATTGTTGCTGGTTTTATTTTCCATGCTTTTCCTGTTCAACACATCTGTGTCTGCTTTTATTTTCTGTATAAGCAACTGCATCAAGTCAATGGGTAGTAGACTACTTCAAAGCAGAAATGGCCTTCATTTATTTCAAAGAAAATTCTAAAATGTATTTACTCTGTATTTCATATGCTGCAACAACAAAAACATTAAAATTAATTGTACTTTCCTTCCTTTCTCATTTATGCTCCAGGCAACTTAGGCAATAAAACTAAGCTAATGTGGCTGCAACTACATTAGCATGTAGTGCAGCTCAGTGGAAGTGGGTTTGTAGAATGAAATGGTTGATGTTGAGATGACATCTGTCTGCAATATGGGCATTTTGGAGGCAGAGGGTCTGACTTTAGAGTAGTGCTAACCTGATACTCTGAGCTAAATGTCCAGTAGTGGTTGGAGCACGTTAGATGCACTCCTGAAATGTATATTCTGGTTTAGTTTCCTTGAAAGGGAATTCAGTTCCTGTGCTCTGAGATCACTGTGGTGTGAGCCAGCACATAGTATGTAAGGTTTTGCTCTAGAGATTTCCCCCCAGGATTTGGGGGATTCATTTCAGAAGCACACTCTTGGTCTGATCTGAAAGGTTCATATAGATACATACAGTATTTCCCTCTTGTTTTGGCAGATTTTTCATACAGGTATCAATTTCTGCTTCTTATCCAGTAAATACTATCTTTTGGGCTTGTAACCGATTATTTACAAGCAGGTGTGTTGTAATTAAATTTGCTTTTCTTATCTTATAAGAAAAGTGGTGCTCTGACTGTGATGTGAGTAGTGACTGCTTAGTCAACTCTAGCTTTTTTTGTTTTATGGTATCTGTGCAAAGTGATTGGCAATGCAGGGTGCAACAGTGGAACAGACAATGCTGTCCCAGTGCTGAAAGTTGGTCTCTTCATTAACAGTCTGACTAGTGGCTAGAGACTCATCCATCAACTCCCTCCCCTGTCTCCAACTCTCTGTATGCCCTTGCATAAATCTGCAGCAGTTCTGCACAGCTCCACCACATCTAAGACACTATTGCTATTGGCATATGTAGCAAAACTGGTGGGTCCTGAAACACTTCATATGTACAGAACGGCTGGTTATCACAATGCAACAGCTAAGGCTTCTGGAGACCGTAGATACCTGAAAACACAGTAGTAATAGCCCAGGGTGGTAGTTAGCAGATTAAAGTCAGCAGTGCTGGCAAATCTGTTTAGGCACTTAACTTTTATTGATTGAATGAGGAACTAGGTGCTTCAGTGCCTCAACAGTTTGTCCCTCAATTCCCTTTCTAAGAAATGGAGATAAGAGCACTTTCACACTTCAGAGGAGTGGCCTGACAGAAAATGTGTTAAAGCAGTGATGTGCTTGGATGTGACAGTGAAGAGGTCAGATGAGTTCCTTGTGCAGGTAGGAGGAAATATGTGAGACTAGAGTGGATCTTGATTAACAACTTGCCTTGGAGGCACAATCCAAAGTCAATGACAAGACTCTTATTAACTTCAGGGAGCTCGGATCAAGCCCATTGATTTGTGCTTATTTCTGCTCTAGTTGCTGTAGTCCAAATTAATGCTGTGCTGTGATATTTTCAAATACCAACATAAACAAAATCCACTCAAGAAGGAAGTAATAAAAATGGCGAAATCATAATGCTTGAATCATAATACTGAATTGATAGATGTTAGCCGTAGGATCATTGTCCCAGAAATTAGTCTGGTAAGAAAAAAGAACCGACTGATAAACATCACAATTAATTTTTGGGTTCAAAAGCTGTATAGGCTACTTAGTGACAGTAGATGATCTATATATTGACGTTTTGATTATTAATGCTTTCTCTGTATCTTCTATCATGCAATCTTCAGTTTAGAAGTCACATCAATTATATGCTTGATGGATTTGAAAGTGTTAAATGAAAATAAGAACGTTTAATTCTAATAATGCATGTTTTCATCACAAGATTTCAAAAGTAAATCAGAGATACTAAAGGAGACTGTACCTTTATGCTATAATGGAAACATTACCCTATTTTACATTAGAGATACAGTGTGGTAACGTAACTGGTCTACGATTACTTAGGATATTAAAGTTCAGGGATTTTGAAGAACCCCAAACTTCCAAGTTACAGGCCAAATTGTTATGCTACCAAGGGGTTTTCTAGAGATAGATAAAAACCTCTGGCAGTTACCCAATAATGAAGGACATTTCCTATGTAGATTATATGTGTATTTACACCTTCACATACAAATAGTTCTTTAGCATCTGGTGTCTATCAAGACTTACGGAGCCTTATAATTCATAGGTAGTGAGTTAAGTTATATCTAATTCTGCCTGCCTAAATGAAAGAAAGAGAAGGAAATGGAGTGTGTGATTTTTGCAGTGCCCAAACTCAGAGGAATTTGCTCTGAGAAATGCCAGGTATGGATCTTTTCATTTCAGGCTTGTCTAAGAACAGATCAGTGTTTGCCATTTGCAAAGCAACAGCAGCACCAGTACTTTAAAAAAAAAGAAAGCTAATGATTCAAGGCTTTAATACCTTTCCAGGCAAATATTCTTCAGAACTTTTCATGTTTGTCATTCATGGTGCCTCATTCCCATTTCTTAGGGGTATTACTTTGTTGCTTGCTGAAATACTGGAATGATCTCTTTCTGCTGCTCAAACCTATATATTCTCTCATGCAGAGACACATGAGAGGAGTATCTCATTATTCTCTCTGATTCATCAGCAATGCAGACCAATTAATACCACAGTTAATGGGGAGAAGTAGCTACTACAACAGCAAGCCGTATATCTTCTGTCACTCCTGAACTAACACTCTTGGACAAAGCTAGGAAGCAACTTTACTATGCGGAGATTATTTTTGATACACTACCAAATCTATAATTCACAGCGCCATAGAAACTGGAGATGGAAAGAACCAAGCACGTTATCAAATGTGTTCTCCTGCCAAAGCAAGACTGCTTGTTGCAGACAGCCAGGTTATAACATTTCAGGCCATGAAACTGTCATCTTCTCTGAAAATTCTGCCAGAGTCTAACAAACCTCACCATTAGAGATCATTCTGTATGTCTCTTTCTCCTCTCTCTCTGTCTTTCTTTTTTTTCTTAACACCTAACTTTTTGTCTGCCACTCCAATAGATCATTCATGAAGACCCTAGCAGCACACTGTGGCTGTCTGGTAACTTAGTAAGTTTGCACTCTGGTCTTACAAATTTCAGGTTTGTTTTTTTGGATAACCTAAGCATAGCTTCGTTTAGGTCTGTTTTAAGTAGTGGTAAAGTCATTCTACCTATTTGATCGTATGTTATGTGTTTATATACATAGCTGAAATATATTGTTTTCCTTACTGAAAGATTGGCTATGCTTAGTTTTGACATTACATTGAAACATTTTGAAATAGACATATTTAATAAGCTTATTTGAAGTTCCTAGCTGCTTACTTATTTTTCCATCTGACTTCTCTTCACCACTGTATTTTCATCTTTCCCTTCCATATAGATTATGCTGCTGACTGATCCAGAAGTTGAGAGCAGCTTATTAATCAGTTCTGATGAAGGGGCCACCTATCAAAAATACCGTCTGAACTTCTACATCCACAGTCTGCTCTTCCACCCCAAGCAGGAAGATTGGATCTTAGCATACAGCCAAGATCAGAAGGTAAGAATCGTTGGCAGCATTTTGCTTTGTTTGCTTAGGAAGAACCTACAATTTCCCCATCTCTCTACATAACTGCTGCAGAGCATTCAGGACAGTCTTTGAGGTGATACCAGGACAGTCTTTGGACTGAAATACCAAACTGGTATTTCCAAGCAAGAAACATTGAGTAAGCCTCAATGTAAAGGGCAAAGTAAAGGACACGGGCACCTACTGTGTTCTTGGGGCCTAGCCCTCTATGACTGACCTGACAGTCTGCATTTATTCATCAGTCCTTTTGGCAATATCATGTGACAGGCAATGGGCAGACAAGACAGCTAGGATCCTTCACGATAGGCATAACAACCTCTAATGAGGCTTTTTGTCCTCTTATTTAACACTTCTCTCTCTCTCTGGAGCCTAGCACAAACTCCAAGAACAGTATAAGACACTCCTTGTTCCTATTTGGTTGGCATATTTTCAAGTAGCCTTTGATTTTCTAAGAGAAAAGTGGATCAATTTCCTTTGAAGTCCAGTTCCTTCAGTATAAGTAATCCATCAACTGAATAAATATGCTGTGAGATATGCCTTGATTTTTTGCTGCCTAACTTGAGACAACAGAATGGGACTTGATTGTAAGAGACCTCATTGTTAGAACTTTTTGAAAATCAGACACATCAATACTCACAAGTTAGTCACCTTCCAGTGAAGGACTTTATAGAGCTCTGTTTAGTTTACCAAAAAGCAGATAGAAGGGAAACTATATTGTTGTGCATAAATATCTCCATGGGGGAAGACAAAACATATGAGTAAGCATTTTGATCTAGCAAAAAAACTTCTAACAAGAAGGACTCCTGCCATTGGCTAGGAGTCAACGGCAGATAAACTCAACTGTGAAGTAACTAGCCATTGGAGCAAACTGCTCTGAGAAATGGCGGATTTCACATCCTGACATTTTGATGTTTTTGAATAAAACTGAAAAAAGAACAAAGCAATTTGCTGAGCTCCCAACAAGGGTAAAAGAGTGAAATATCTTCTCATCTAGTATATAAGCCTTTATAAAAAGTAATTTAGTGGTCTCTTTTTGTTTTATATATGATGAATCTGTGAGAATCTGAATCTAATCAATAATCAAAGTATTGGCTGAAGTGTTCAGGTTATACATTAATGTAAATATCAACATAAAAGTTTGAATTCTGTGATGTTTTCCATCTGTGTATTTGAATTCATTTTACAGACATTAAGCAACTAATTTTCCTTTAGCCTAAATTAGGTTTGTTGTTACTATAACTGTAAGCCTGAGATGATAAAGGCATAAGCAAGCTAAATAAGTAGGTAAAGTCACAAAATGGGAATTTTTTTAATAGAAGTTCAGTCCTGTGCTTTAAACTCAACACCAGTATCCTTCCAGGACGGTAGCTTAAAATCCTTCCCAACTATGAGGAATGCATCTTGCCTGCCTAATTTTTCCTGTAGAGTCAATTGCATGCAATATTTTTCACTCACCCTTCTCACAGCATTTTGTAGGGTGTACTGTGGTTATAATCTGTTCAGAGGAAGGAGCAGATTAAATTATTTCTGGGTGTTCAGTATGTAATTAGACGAGGTCAAAATGTTTCCTTTCCCTTGTGGCTGTTGAATTCTCTGGGCTGATATGAAACTGAACAGAATCTGTCTTTTAGGACCCATTGGAATGAAAGTTACTGTGTGTTAGTAACAGGAAATTTATTACATGAGGATCAATGAAACTTTCAGTGCTAAATTTGTCAAATAAAAGTAGGATATAGTAGAAAATGAATTGCAGCTGTTGTGGTATTCACCCTGCTCAGGAAATAATTCTGAATTAGAGTCCATACAGCTAATGCTCATCTAATTTATGGTAGATGGCTACCAGCAAGTATATTGTCACTATTCCATAGCAAACTCCCACTCTTCTATAGAATCCTAAAAAACAATCCGGATATGAGAACAAAGGGCCCTTTTGTGCGTTAACCTGAATTTATGGGGTTGGTGTCGGAGTTGTGTGTATGGGGTGTTTTGGGTGAGAGGCTGCAAGTTGTACGGTAAAATTTCTTTGTGTTACGGCATTAATTAGCAAATTGGATAACTGTTGGTAATTCAATACTGTAGTTGCAAGAGAAAAATCATGTAGCACAAGGTCTGTAGATCTGTACCAATTAACTCTAAAATAGAATTTTAAAAGTACTTTGTATGGGTATGAGTCACAGGCCTGGTTTCTACTTTAAAGCCTAATGGATACATTTTCTGACTTCAACAAGCTTTGGCCAAGGACCTTAGAGGGTAACCAACAGGCAAAGAGTATTAATCAGCTTGGACTAAATTAAACATAACTCAAACTAAGGGTCAAGTTCAGCCTGTGGCTAAGTGTAAACAACTCCCATTGGTTTCATGCCTGTATATCCAAAGGCAGAATTTTCTCAGAGTAATTAAGAGGTCCTGCAGGTATTTAGATAATTGCAATGGGAGCTGTGGGGTAGTTTGGAACAAATGACACTGCTGTTTGCTGTTTCGTGATCTCATGCTAAGGTCGTATTTAAGGAAAGAGAACCCATTACTCCTTGGATTCCAGCCACTGTGTGCACACTGGCTAAGAGTCACCTGAGGAAGCAAGGGAAACGTATCTGCATGGTAAGGAATTTACATTTTGATATCACTGACTTTGATGCCACTGACTGAAGAGGCTGTGAAGGTTTTGTTGATGGGGGCCATAAGGAGTAAGTTGGATTTTGACCAGTTAGGATTGTCACAGTCATTTAATTTTGCTGTTGACAGTCAGGAGGGAGGTGAGAATCAACTAGAAAACACGTTTACATCCTTCTAGCAAGCCGTATCATTGTTGTCATCCATTTCCGTCTTGTCATTGCAGCAGGTGGGACCAAGAGAATCAGGTGGTGAATAGAGCAAGAGTTGGAGAGACAGGAATCTCATTCTGTCTGGACTGTTTTGGTTCTCAGAAGTTGTCCGTCCAATTCAGGACTGATGAGGGCAAAGCTGACAGTTAGCACATGCCTCTCGTTGCTCAGCTGTAATGAACAGGAAATGGGTCACATAGCATCATCCCACAGTCTCTTCACAGCCCACCGAGTCTATCACTATAAGTACTACAGATCTTTCTTTATTTGGTTGAATAGGGATTTACTCAACGGTAGGGAAATCTGTGTTAGCTGAAGTCATTTTATGTCCCAGTTTCTTGGGTGTTGTGTGTGGGCGAATGTTGTTAATTACTGGGGTTCAGCTGATGAGCAATACCTCATTAAGCTTCAGCGGCTTGGTTGCTTTTGTTCACATATCTCTTCCATGTGTTTCTGCCTTGGGCAGCAGACTTGAATTACCACTGCTGACAGACCAGTCCCTTATTCAGTCATGACTTTTTCCTGCCAGTCTTGAGAAAAAAAGAGCAGCAAACCATCTGCCGCCTGCACTAATTGCTTCATGATTGCATTCATTGTTCTGGCAGAAAGTACAGTTGTTACATGGCTGATTCTTACCACGTAATTGCAGAACTACTGCATGCTTCTTCATTTTCTGTGTAAGAGGAGTTACACAGATGCAGTAAAGCATTGCTTGTGAGGCAAAAGCATGTTGGAGGTCTTGTACGTATGAGCTCTCGTGGGTTTAATCAGCTTGCCTGTAGGATGAGGGGCTGTATTTTATGGGAGTATTGCTTTTGTGTTACTATGTGACCTTCAGAAGTGGTTTGCTGTGTAATCAGGGGGTGGGATGTAAGAGCCTCTACTTCACGTAGAGACGTCTTCTGCTATTCAGATGGGTCAGACACACAGAGGAATGGTTAGTAACTAATCAGCCATGAATAACAGAGCTGTTTGGAGAGACGAAATACAGGTGAAATTGGGAAGCACAAGTCAGACAGGTAAAATGCAGGGTCGTAATTGCCCAGCTCAAGAATAAATGCGCAAAGGCACTCAAGCACTGAAAAGCAGCAACAGAGGCTGAAAAAGCAGGTTTAAAATGGAGTTATTTTCGTTGCTTCTCCTCTCTCATTTTAAATGGACTCTTGAAAAGCAAGGCACCCCAGACTAAAGGAGCTCTGTCAACATAGCACTAGTAAATGAAGAGGTTTACATTTCCTTTTTTTTTTTTCCATTTTGGCCTTTCCCAAATATCTGATTCCATCTGTCTACCTTTATTTACCATGTGTATCACACTGGAGATCAATGAGTTAGAGACTGATACTTGGCTGTATAGCTAAAGTGCTGAAGTTTAGCAAATCGGGATTCTGTTGCTTTTGGGACAACTTATCTTCTGTTATCAAACCATGTAATCTTCTTCAGTTTCCTACAGTAAAGGAGGTCTGCTCCTCATGCATTCAAGTAGAAGAGAAAGGTGTTCATATATCAGGGATGACACAGGAACCACTTAGAATAGCGATAAGGATGCATATGGCCACAGGATGACTGTGTGAGAGAACAGGCCAACTCTTAAAAGTACCTTCAGCCCCATCTATCTGTGTGTTTGGTCTAATGTTTGTGTTTGACAGTAGAGTATCTGCCATAGATGTAGCCAGTATTCACTCTTCAAGATGTGATGGACTATTTTGGATGCACTTTATAATTCTAAAACATTTCATTTCACTGCATTAAGATCTAACTTTGAGGGTGACCCTGCTTGGAAAAGGGTCAGATCAGGGACCTCCAGAGGTTCCTTTCAACCTATATTATTCTGTTTCTATTTACACCCTCTCAATTTCAGTGGTAACAGCCACTGCCTACATAGACCAGAGAAGGGGGAATAAAATCCGGATTTATTTTATCAGAAAGTGCATCATAGCTTTTTAAAAAAATTGCTGTTAGCATCAAGCGACGTCATTTTGGGGTGGGTTTTTTCCACACTGCTGACAACATTTAGAGGACTATTCACTTGGGCTAATGTTAGCTGAGGGAGGCTAATCCCATCTAAAATTAATGGAGAGGAAAAAAGCTTCTCTAGAGTGGTAAGAGTTAGCCACTTTGAATCATCCTCTGGAAAAGCCTATCTCTTTTGAC